TATATATATAATGCTTATATAATGCTTATTACCCAACACCTTTTATGCCAGACTTATAGACCATAAGATCACCTTGTGTTGAGAAATAACAAAGTTGTAGTTGTTCTTTGTTTTAGAGCTCAGAGCATGTACTGTTTCTGACTCTGCTTTTACCACACCAAATTTTATCTTTATATTTGTTAAGTAAACTAAGTTATTGCAATTTTTAAGTTAACAAATGCTGATTAACTATGGCAATCGTCTTAAATTCTGCACACTTTTCATTCAATAATTGATTTACTGTTTTTTAATTGACCTTTTGTTGTTTTTATGAATGAAATAAATCAATTTAAAAAACTTCAATGGAGTCTGGAATTTAATCCATAGTAGATTCAACGATTATCCTCTGTTTTAATATCCATCCAGGGGCTCATGAGATAATTTGCTAACAGAAAAACAGGGTTTACGTTACTTGTTAATGCTCATATTTTAAGCAAATATCTTGTGCAAAAAGTAGCTGTTGTACTACATGTGGTGAACAACCTTCAGCTGCACTTGTCACCTACATGAGATTTAGCTTGTTTTATACCTGATGCTACTTCTGATGCAATCTGCTTGAACCTGTGGCATCAGGTTTTAAAGACCACAGCACTGACTGCTGACTCATCAAATAAAAGCTCAATGTTTGAAGGACAAAAATCTAATTAATTTAAATGTTTTTAAGAACAATATAAAAAAGAACTTAAAGTAAAAGCATAAATATGGATGTATCATGTCTGAACTTTTGTACATTTGAGGGGAAAAATACCAATGCTTGTTTTGGTGTGTTATCTCCTTCCTTAATAAAATAATGCAATTTGTTTGCTTTTCTGACATTTTTTTTTTTTTTTTACAGAGAACAGCATGTAGGCATTTTCCTTACGTTTTGACCTTGCCTTGTCAGTTTAGATGAGGGTGGACCGGACGTCCTCTGATCTCCAGACAGAAAGAAATCAATTTTGGAAAACAAGCAGTGGAGCGGCTGACAGAGGCGCAGCTAAGTTACAAGTGATCACATGAAAGGTGGAAAGAGTCAAAGTTTGTCAGAAAAACTTAAC